GTGTGTGTGTGTGTATGTATATATATATATATATATATATATATATATATATATATATATATATATATATATATATGTATATATATATATATATATATATATATATATATATATATATATATATATGTATGTATATATATATACATATATATATATATATATATATATATATATATATATATATATATATATATATATATGTATATATATATATATATATATACATATATATATATATATATATATATATATATATATATATATATATATATATATATATATATATATATATATATGTATATATGTATACATATATATATATATATATATATATATATATATATATATATATATATATATATATATATATATGTATATGTATATATATACATAGACATAGACACACACTACCCATGCACTGTATATATCAACTATATATTTGTAATCAAATAAAAGTTAAATTTCCTTTTTCATACGTATATATATATATATATATATATATATATATATATATATATATATATATAGATAGATAGATATAGATATAGATATATATATATATATATATATATATATATATATATATATATATATATATATGTATATATATATATATGTGTGTGCGTGTGTGTGTGTGTGTATGTATGTATATGTATATATATGTATATGTATATATATATATATATATATATATATATATATATATATATATATATATATATGTATATATATATATATATAAGGTAGGGAATTTTATGCGTAATATTAGCTCTCCGGCTCTCGTTAGACGCTTGTCGATGGTTGAGAATAACTCTTGGTTAGGTATGCTGGGTCATGTCCCTCTTGCCTGACCTGCTATGCGAGTCCTGACGAGGGTTCCTGCTCTACGTTGGTATGTCTGGCTCGAAGGAGGTGATTAAGTGTAAGGTCGCTTACCTGTCTTCTTTCTCTGTTCTTATATTTTTCTCTGTCTCTCGCTTCATTCTCATTTTTTCACTTTCTCTTCTCATCCTGTACATGTCTTTCCCACTGTCTTTTCTCTCTGTATATCCCTCTCTTTATCTGTCTATCTATCTATCTCTTCCTCCCTTCCTCCTCGTCTTCTCCTTTTTCTTCTTAGACGCAAACACACACACACTTGCATCATATGCTCCCGTATGTCTCCTCAGCCTCCTCAACGTCGCTTTTGACATCCTTCTCGCTGCCATACCTGCTGTAAACTTCAGCATAACGCGTCCACCTGCTGCCCCTCCTTCAGGCAGCGGCGCCAGGTGACGTCAGGGACTTGAAGGGTCGCGTTGAGAGTGACTTTGAAACTCCTCGAGCGGCACTTTTCTGGCTGGGGGCGGCGCCTCGGCAAGAGCGCTGGGCAGCCTCGTTTGCTTTGGTGCTGCGGGACGGGCGCGGGCGTTTGTGGGAGGGAGGGGGGAATGGAAGCTGCGGGGTGCGTCGTCGTATACAATGAATCTCTGGATCTTTTCCTTTCATGCAATAAATGGACGCATACGGTTGCGCGAATGCACGCAAGTATGTATGCAAACACAAACGCACGCAAGCAAACACACACACACACACGCGCGCGCGGGCACTCTCACTCCAAAGCACTCACACACCCTCCCCCACAAGCTCTAACATCCCCCCCCCATCCCTTACCCCACCACAAACACATCACCCCCTCCCCCCTCCCAACCTCCACTCTTCCCCCCCCTCCCCCCATCCAGGCCTCCCTATAAATCCCGCTCTTTACCCTTGCTCTGCGACCGAAAGCAACGACAAGAAAACCAAAAATAGGAATGTCACAATTTCGCGCCCTTAACTATCTCCGCGAGTGATCATTTAGCGGCGCCAAGGTCTTTGAAGGTTATTTCTGCTCCGTCCGTGCTTAAGGGTGGAGTTAAAGAGGGGGGGGGGGAGTTAGGAGGAAGTGAAGTTGAATGGGAGTGAAGTCAGGAGGAAGTAAAGTCGGGAGGGAGTGAAGTCAGGAGGAAATTGAGTCGAGAGTAAGTGAAGTCAGGAAGAAGTTGAGTTGAGAGGAAATGAAGTCAGCAGTATGTGCAATCAAAAGCAAGTGAAGTCCGTAAAAAGTAAAGTAAAGAACCAACGAAGCCAAGAGCGAAGGAAATGAGGTCAAAAGTGAAGTCAAAATTAAGCGAAGTCCAAGAATAAGCTATTTGGGATATTAAGTATTCGGGCTTTCAGAGAGTGAAAAAGTCACGAGAATTTTGAGAGGAGGGAGAAATGAAGAATTATAAAGAATGAAAAATAACTGCGATCGACTTTTCAATAATACTCATTACCAATTCATAGATAATGAGGGGGAAATAAAGAATTTAAATGAAGGAAAAAGAAAAATTGTGATCGACGGTTTAATAATAATAATTACTAATTCTTGGATAACGAGGGGAAAATTAAGAATTAAAGTAAATGAAAAAGAATACTGCGATCGACGTTTTACTAATAATAATCACCAAATTCGTGGATAATGAGAGAAGAATAAAGACTTAAAAAGAATGAAAAAGACGTTTAGAAATGCACATAGAATAACCGAAGTGCTTGCGCGGAGGACGAGAAGGCGCCCTCTCCCGCCCAGCCAAGAATGAAAGGTGACGAAACGCATTGTATGGAAATAGCACATTCTCTTGAGTGTTAGATTCTCACACATTCCGATGCTCTTGCTTATTGTCTTACCTATTTTGAGAAGACCTGAGATTTTTTTTTTTTTTTTTTTTTTTTTTTTTTTTTTTTGAATATGAAGAATGGGTGTGAAAGCTGTTTTGGGAAAATCTTTCAGTGTTTATTTAGTTCTCGTGGTTTGTCAAATTCTTTTACGGTTTTGCTGATTATCTTACCTATTTGAAATATTCCGTTATAGGAGAATTTTTGGAATAATAAGAAAAAAAATTGTGCGAGAGCGAATATTCATGTAAAAAAAAAAAATTGTCTCACCTTGTGACGTCACAGCTGGGTTCTTATGGCGCGTGAAATTTCATCTGCGAGTGGAGTGGACGCCTACGCAATTTCTCAGCGTGAGGGATAATTTGATACGAATATTTCAAGCTCGAAATATTTTAATTAATGACCTGACTGAACCGGTCCCCGCACAGGCGACGCCGACGTGAAGGCTAGAGATAATCCAGAACAAATTTTAACCGTCGGGTTAATGTGATTTTATACACGTTTCCCCCTCTGGGAGATCGAGGGGGGGGGGTGACACCGGGAGACGGGGGGGCGGGGGGAGGCCCTTGCGTGTGGCACTTGAGAAAAGGTTCTGACACGGAGGACTTGTGGCACTCCGGAAATGGCACTGGCAAGGAATGTTGGACATGGGAGGTTAAAAGTATCAGAGAACAGTTAATTTGATGATAGTTGATCTATCTAAGTTACCTGTTTGCCATTGAATTGTATTTTATGATTAAAGTCTTATTATAATCCATATTCCTTAATGATTTTGAGGCCAAAGAAACTCACACTTTTTACAGTCATAACGAAAAACACATATAGTATTTATTGTCCCAAGGGAGAGCGTTGTGTCATCTCGAGGCCGATTCGTGACGTCATATAAACCATCTGCCCGCGTAGCACATGCCAGCAGATGAAGGGCGCGTAAAACACTTCAGTTAAGCACTGTCCCAGGCTGTAAATAGCCCGAGACGCAGTTGTAAAACGCTGTAAACACACCACAATGGTAGCTGTAAACAGAGCGGCCTTAGCAGCGCCTCGAACAATAGCTCGAAGATATCGGAGAGCCTCGAGATGCCCACCTCACGTGTGGAGCCGCCGAGGCATCAAGAGGCCCCATTGTGTGCCTCGGCGCGACCGGCCACTCCACGCCGGGATATATTTAGATCGCCATTCTTTTTATAGCATTCGTAATTCAAGAGCTTCACGCAGGCGCTCCGAGAATTTTGTGGGGGAGAAACAAGGAGGTAAGCTTGTTTCCCCTCCCATTTTTTTTAAATGCCGTCCCTCCCCGGCGGCTCGACTAGTGGGCCCGCAGATCCCTTTTAAGGGGATCGAATACCCTTTGATAATTTGCGCGACCCGATCTAAAAGACTCCGAGGACAGGATGCGATGCTCTTTTTTTTTCTTTCTTTCTTTCCTTTTTTTCTCCATCTCCTACCTCTCCTCATTCGTCACCGGGTTACGCGTTTATGAAGCCGGGTTCATGGAGGAGGCGGAGGGCGTGGAGACTATCCAAGAGGCTCAACGAGACTGCTTAAAGAGCTTGATGAAGGTGCTAGATTATGTTTCTTAAGATCGGTATCGGGCGGGCGGTCCGAGGAGGAAGAAATAGCCTTAGTCACTTGGATGACGTCACGAGAGCTGCATTAGATCACTGCTTGGTCTTCACCGAGGCCGCCACTGACATCATTCCTCTAATTCTGGCGGCTTTATTGGCCTTGTTTATTGATCTGTTTATTTCTTGCTTTTTATTTTCATCATTATTGTTATTATTGTTATTGTTGTTGTTGTCGTTGTTATTATTATTATTATCATTATTATTATTATTATTATCATTAACAGTATCATTACTACTATTATTACTATTATTATTGTCATTCTCATTATTATTATTATAATAACAACAATTATTACCACTATTACTATTACTGTTACTATTACTGTTACCATTTATTATCATTTTGAATATTACTGTTACTGTAAATATTATTATTATTAGTGTGTGTGTGTGTGTGTGTGTGTGTGTGTGTGTGTAAGTATGTCCGTCTGTCTAGTACACTGCAAGCGTTGCATGACGTCCCAGATTATCATCACCGCTTTTTCCTCTCGATTTTTTTCCCTCCAGCCTTTCAGCTCATATTCCCCTGCTATTTATTGTTTTTTAAAGTGCTCAGATGTCGAGTCCAGATTAAGCCGCTTGTCATTCATACTTTAAACATTAGCCGAAAGAACATATTTGGACATTACTTTGAATTTTAAATTTTTGCGAAGTGGAGAACTAATGATTAATGTTTCTTTTTTATTTTGTGTCTTGCAGGCGGCAGCAGAACGAGTTGAAAGGAGGCAATATGCATGCAGGTAAGTTGACTGTTTTTTTGTTCATCTTTTTTATCCACTTTTTTTATATTTTTCGTCGCTAATGGTCATTTGTATTGCGTTATCTCGGCGTTATCTTGAGGCTGAGAGAGGCGTGACGTCATCGAGGTGTAAGGTAGCTGTTTGGCGAGGGGGATGTTAGTGTGGGAATTTTTAATCGAGTTCAAGTTTTAGATAGTGTTTTTATTGATGATGCTTATAAAGGGAAGCAAAGTCTTAATTATTGTTTTTATCATCCTCCTCCTCCTAATCATCATCATCGTCATCATCATTATCATTATCATTACCATCATCATCATCATCATCATCATCATCATCAATATCATTATCATTATCATCATCATTATAATCATCATCACCACCGCCATCATCATCGGTATTATTTTTATTCTAATACTACTAATGTAAATTATTATTATTGCTATTACAAACAACATCTGTTACATTCCAAGGATAAATCTAATTAATAAATCAAATATGGAACTTTTAAATTTCATGTCTTACTAACCCTCCTCCAGCCCCTTCCCCCTCCTCCTCCTCCTCCTCCTCCTCCCCTCCTCTTCCTCCACCTCCTTCCCCTTCTCCTCCTTCTCTTCCACCTCCTCCTCCTCCTCCTCCTTCTTCTTCTTCTTCTTCTCCCTCTTCTTCTTCTTCTTCTTCTTCTTCTTCTTCTTCTTCTTCTTCTTTTCTTCCTCATCTTCTCCTCTTCCCCTCCTCCTCCTCCTCCTCCTCTTCTTCTTCTTCTTCTTCTTCTTCTTCTTCTTCTTCTTCTTCTTCTTCTTCTTCTTCTTCTTCTTCTTCTTCTTCCTCCTCCTCCTCCTCCTCCTCCTCCTCCTTCTCCTCCCCTCCGCCTCTTCTCCCTCCTCCCCTTCCCCTTCCCCCTTCCCCTCCCCCTCCCCTACCCCCCTCTCCCCCCACATCCTGGGCGTCCTTCAATAAAAAAAAGAAAAAGAAAAAAAAAGAAAACAAAAAACAAAAAGAAAAAAAAAAAAGGAAAAAAAAAGTCATCAAGGTGATCTTATCTCGGCGACAGTTACAAACCGTTAAGTGGCGAGGTATTTTTTTTTTCCTCCTCCTAAACTCGCCAATTTAAGAATAGTTAAGAAATATTTAGCGAAGGATTTTTTACCCTGATATAAAGGTACAGTTTGGTTCATTATCGAACGCCAACTGGACCGGGAACTTGAAAGAATGTTGCAAAAAGAAAAAAAAAAAGAAAGAGAGAAAAATAGAGAAAAAAGAAAGAGAGAAAAATAAAGAAAAAAAGAAAAAGAAAAAAAGAAAAAGAAAAAAGAAAGAAAGAGAGAAAAAAAAGAAAAAAAAAAAGAAAGAGAAATAAAGAAAAAAAGGAAAAGAAAAAAAAAAGAAAGAGAGGAAAATAGAGAAGAAAATTGGAAAGAAAGAAAAATAATCATGATAAAAAAGGATAAGAATAAGAATGAGAATAAGAAAAAAAGAAGAAAAGCGGTTATTTTTGGCCTCGTGTTTTGATTAGCAAAAAAACGTTCATAAATTCAAATTTTTGAATTCTCATTGGGTGAAGTTGACAAACATTTTACTTTCGCCTCGTAAAATTTATCGGTAAATTTGCTTAGTTCATTAACCGAAGCTGATGAAGTCGAACAAGTCATTAGTAAAACGAGATAATTAATTAGAGAGAAAGTTCGGTGGTTTTAGAATAATTCTTCTCGTTTTTACTCTTTTCTGTTCTTTGTTCCTTTGTTTATCTTTCTCGCTTTTGCTTCTCTTTCGCTTTCGTTTTCTCTATATATTGTTTATTTTTTCTCTTTCTCGCTTTTACTCGTCTGTCTTTCATTTTTATTTTCTTTTTCCTTTTTTTTTCTTCCGTAGTTTAACTTCTCTTTCTATCTATCCTTCGTTTTATTATTTTTTTCTTTTTTTTATTTCTCAGTAATTCTATTTTTTCGTTTTCTTTCTCTTTATTTTTTCTTTCTTTCTCGCTTTTACTTTTTTTTCTATCTTCCTTTTTTTCTTTTCTTTCCTTCTTTCTGCTCTTTTTTTTCTGCTCTTTCGCTTTTCTTTTCTCTCTCCAGTTTATCTCTTTCCCCTTTTTACGCTCTGCATCTTCTTTAATTTACTTTCTCTGCCCTTTCGTCATATTCCATCTCTGTTACTTGGTTTCTTTCTCTTTTTCTCGATTTTATTTTTCATTATCGTCTTCTCTTTATTCTTTCTTCATCATTGTTAATCAGACACGATTGATAATGATAATGATAATAGTGATGATGTGATGTGATGTAATGATGATGATTATGATGATAATGATGATAATAATATGATAATGATAAAGATTATGATTATGATAATGATAATGGTAATGATGATGATAATAATGATAATAATAATGATATTAGTAATAATATTAATAATGATAATGATGGTAATGATAATGATAATCATCATCACTTTTTTTTCTCTTTCTTCTTTCTCTTCTTATTCTCCACCTCTTAATCCTCTTTCTCTTCACACCCTCTACTCCTCCTCCTTCTCCTCCCCCCCTCCCCCTCCCCCTCCCCTCCCTCTCCCTCTCCTCCTCCTCCTCCTCCTCCCCCTCCTCTTCTCCCTCTCCCTCTCCTCCTCCTTCTCCACTTCCTATTCTTCCTCCTCCTCCTCCCGCCCCTCCTCCTTCTCCCTTTCCTTCTCCTCTATATCCTCTTCTTCCTCTCCCTATTCCTCCTCCTCCCCCACCTCCTCCTACTCCTATCCTTCCACCCTCTCCTCCTCCTCCTACTTCCCCTCTCCCCTTCTTCCTCTCCTTATCCCTCTCCTCCCCCTCCTCCTTCTCTTCTTCTCTCCCCTCCACCTGAATTCCGGATTTCTGAAGGTATATTTGGAGACGTTTCCGGATTTTTGAGTTCCATGTCAGGAGTCAAAATGAGAACCTATCTGGAGTTCAAAAAAAATGATGATGATAATGATGATTGACAGTGATAATTATAATGAGGAAGCCGGTATTAATAATGGTAATAGTTATGATAATGACAATATAATGTCAGCAATAATTGATCAGTAATGATGATGAAGATGATCATAATGATTATGATGATAGTAATGAAAATAATAATAATAATAGTAATAATGATGATAATGATGGTAATGATGAAGACGATAATAATGGCGATGATGATTATTGTAAGAGTAATAAAGATAATTAGAACAATAATAATACTAATAATGATAATGGTGATAATTATGATAATGATAATAATAATAAGAATGACAGTGATAATAGTAATGATGATAATGATGACAATAATAATAATAATAATAATAATAATAATAATAATAATAATAATGATAATAATAACTAGAAAAGCTCTCAGAGAGTGCAGACCTCCGCCAAGGTGCGTATATAATATATATACTTTGGCTGCGTCCAGACGGTAATTCGGAATGTCACCAAAATTTAATCAGTTCTAAGTTAGTCCCTTTCTGACTATCACTAAAATACCGAGGATAAAAGAGCATTGTCGGAAGTGCCAGTGACGACTGTGAATGTGTAAAAGTATCACCAGAAGAATGATAAAAACAGCAACGAAGTGCAGTGGTGATTATAAGGAATTTTGAAAACCAATAACAGTAACAGCGCTGATAACAGTAATGAGTAGTAATGATAAGTATCTACCCACCATTCCTCATGGCTGACTGTCAAGGTAAAAACAGGCTGCCATAAACCCTTGGTCTCTCACACTACACAGCCTCGCCAGTACCAGTAAAGCGAGAGCATTCAGTGTAAACACCCCCCGCTAAGGACCTACCACCTGGCAGCGCACCACCTGGCTTCAGGCTGGGCAACAGAGGGTCGTTTCGCAAGCGGTAAAAACAAGGGTGGAAGTTGTGCATCGGGTGGGGTGGGGGGGGGGGTAGTCGCCATGCACGTCTGTTTCGGGGAGACTTCGCTTGTGTTAATGAGTGGGAGACTTTGATTAAAACAATGGTTGGGGGTTGTTCTGTTGCTTTTAAGGCTGGAATTGGTTGCTTGGGTGGATAGTTTTGTGGGTTATTGAGGGTAAATGGGATCTGCAATAATACTTTCACGTAGAAAATAGTATTTAGTTGAATTGTAGGTATGATTCTTTCGTAGAGATGATTGCTATAAGATTTTTTGCCGTTTTCAAGTATAGACTATCCCCACAGAACTCATCTTATACGGGCCATCTCACCACTGATATAAACATATATTCAGAACGGTTAGAAAAAAAGAAAAGAAAACAGAAACAAAAATAAAACAGAGGGGGAAACGAAAGAAGAGAGATGTTGGGGAAAGAATACCTCGGAGGAAATGCTACAAGAAGGGGACGTTGACAGATGCCGCGGGGGTTGGCAGGGACTCAAGCGCGTGGGCAGCGACGTCGGAAGTGAATATATTACGTGGGTTCTCCTCAGACTGCACTTGACCTTGGTGCAATTGCGGCTGCAACTCGAGGGAAGAGAATTCTCGCTGTTGAAGTTGACACCTTTTTGCAACAATGCGTTTAGCCTACGATAACATCAGTGCCTGTTAGAACGCTATTTCTAATGGGGGTAGAGTTGTCCGGTTTTCCATCTGAAAGCAAATGTAATTAAACTCTTAACATCGTCTCAGCCATGGCAATTTATATATTCTATAATTAGACATATCATCAGATGTATTCAACAGCTGGCGAAAAAAACAACAACATTTCGGCCTCTGATCAAGGTCTTAAGCAAACTAGGGTTTTACTAAACGTCGTTTTCAGGAAAAGCTGCAACGAAAACGAGATTTAACTCAACCGCTTGCAATTTACGTCAATCTACTAACGACAGAAAACAGCGATTCATGAATAATAGTTATAGATTTAAATCCTCATAATATCTGTTTAATACAAATAATATGATAATATTATTAAAGAGTACACCAAAAGTACATCGAAATCAGTTAAAAGAAAAAAAAAAAACAACGGTTAGGCCTATTTGAGAGCTTCGTTAGTCGTGGATATTGTCATTCTTGCATCACGTACAGTACGTCTTTGAGGAATTGGCTTATGATTCGGGTCACGAGAGAATTTGCCGTCATAAGTGTTATTGAATTAAACCCCATGAATTCAGGGATGCGTGTGAACCTAATCCCATCACGTAATGTACAAATATTATCTAGTTTCATCTCATTAATTATGCAGAGGCAGAGATTAGGAACGAATGAGATATACTACCACTTTGGTTCTCATAATCTTTACTTTCGAAACAACTGATATGAAAATACTTCTCCATGTACTATGTTACGTATCAACGTTTTCACACACGTACAATATGCAAATTTTATATACTGTAGACAAAAAAAAAAAAAGAAAAAAAAATATTGTGAATACACCCGATCTCTATAAACAGGAAAAATGAATAATAAAAAAACAAACATTAGCTTTTATTTTCCATTTTAAATTCCCCTGATTGTGGCATCACGTGACTCCCCCCCTCTCTCTTTTGTTTCAGGAGGCCCCCCGCCCCCCCCGCCGCCGCCGCCCATCCCTGGCATCACTCAGTCGACGCGACTTCCCTCCGAGGTGAGTGGGAGAGGGGTTTTGCTGTCTGCTTGTCTGTCTGTCTTTATTTTTTTATTATTTAATTATTTAATTATTTTATTATTTGATGGTGTTTTGCTGTCTCTCAGTCTGTCTGTCTGTCTTTATCTTTTTATTATCTATTTCGTTTTATTATCTAGTGTGTTCTGCTGTATCTGTCTGTCTGTATTTTTTTCCATCTGTGATCTGATTTGTCTGTTTTTCTATTTCTCTGTCTTCTTTTCCTTCATCTCTTCTTATTATTATTGTTATTATTATCATTATTATTATTTCTTCCACTTCTCGTTCTCGTTTTAGACCCCTTCCTCCTCCTCCTCCTCCTCTCTGTTGATCTCTCTCTCTCTCTCTCTCTCTCTCTCTCTCTCTCTCTCTCTCTCTCTCTCTCTCTCTCTCTCTCTCTCTCTCTCTCTCTCTTCCTTCCTTCCTCTCTCCCTCCCTTTATTTTCACTGGACCCGCACATATATAGACCCAAGAACACACAAACCCTTAGACAAACCTCTCTACTTCAGTCTCTAATACAACTAATCACCAAATCGCATCCCGCTCATTATTTTAAAATTTTCCTTTTTTTCTTCCCTCCTTCGGCAGATCCCCGTACGCCCGCAGCCGATGAATCCGCCCGCAGCCCTCGCCGGCGCCATGATGAAGGAGAAAAAGCCCTTTACATACACTCCCGGAGGACTCGACCTCTCAGAAATCAAGTAGGTCCTTCGGCAGGGAAGACGGGGTGTGGTGGTGGGGGGGGGGGGGGAGAAAGGGAGGAGGGAAGGAGAGAAGGGGAGAGAGGGAGGAAGGAAGGGGTGAAGAGGAGAGAGGGTGGAAGGGAGAGAGGGAGGGAGGGGGTGAAGGGGAGGGAGGGAGAGGGAGAGGGGGAAGGGGGGAAGGAGGGAGAGGAGGGAGGGAGGGAGGAAGAAGTGGTGAATGTAGGTGGATAGAGTGGGTGATGGATGCGGTGAGTGAGTGAGGATAGAAGAGTGAGGATGAGGAGAAATGAGAGTGAGTGAGAGTGAGAATGATAATAAGTGAGAGTGAGTAAGAGTGAGAGAAGTAGATGGAGGAACAGGAAGAAGGGAGAAGGTAAAGGTGAACAGAGAGAGAGAGAGAGAGAGAGAGAGAGAGAGAGAGAGAGAGAGAGAGAGAGAGAGAGAGAGAGAGAGAGGCGGGGTGGGGGATGATTTGTGTTTTAGCCTTAAGTCAGTTAAAATGTACATATCGTAATATTGTTTTCCAGCAAATGAACGTCACAATTGTTTTACAGATTGTAAATATATTTCCATGTTGGCTCCTTTTCTGGAGCTATTTATACAGTCCTCATTTATGTATATATGACTCCTCTGTAAATTTCATTCATGTTGTATTCTCGCTGGATATCATTACTCGAATGTTGATGCAGTAAAATTTCCTTTTAAGAAAGACCGGCAATGATAAGCTAGTATGATGTTAAATTATCATAATTTATTCAATGACGTATCTTTAATTGCGTGTCATTCAGTCGGAAATTTTACTGTCTCTTAACGATTTCGATCCAGTTACGTAAGTACATCGAAGAAAACACGTCTGGAACATGTTTGAGAAGGCGTGATTGCCTGCATTGCTTAACATGGCGGATGGCTTCTTGTGAATGAACATACTGTTTATTAGCATTTAATGATTGTCCTTTTATATAGAACATAACGTAATAATAATAATATAATAATAGCAACTTGATCCTGTCATTGTTTAATTAATGACACAAGCTTGACCGGATGTTAAGTGTGTAGCACATGTGTCCCGTTGGGGATGGGCCCGTCTGCCCTCTATAGACACGGCACAGTCTGTCCCGCCGCCCCTCCTAACCCACATGTTTGGCACGAGTGTTGGACCCCGCCCACAGATCCCCAAGGATGCAGCGCCGCCTCTACAGGAATGCGCAGTCAGAGGGCGTGCGGCCGTCGCCCTTGGCTGCGCAGCCCTCGCAAAATGCCACCAATGCCACGTCAGGGCAGTCGTCAGCGCCTCTGGGAATGCCGGTCCAGGTTCTCCCTATGCCGGGCATGCACATGGGGCCGCAGCAGCAACCTCAGCCACAGCCCAAGGAGCCTCCCAAGCCCAAGAAGAATGTGTGTGGCCCTCCGCCTCCCCCGCCGCCCTTTGCTGTGTCGCCAAACTCTTCCTATACTCCTTCTGTCGCTTCGCCTCCTGTGATTACCTCCCCGCCCTTGGACTTCTCCCCTGTGGCACCTCTGCCCCAGATGGCTAAGGAGCCAGGTCCTTCCATACCCGCGGCTCCTCCTCTGCCCCTTCAGGTCCCTACTGCCAGAAGAGGGTCACTGATCATTTCCTCGCCGCCTTCTTCGCCGCTTGTCAGTAGTGAGTCCAGTGACTTCTCGTCGCCGCCTCCTCCACTCCCGCCGCCTCAGCCCGTGAAAGTGCCTGTCACTCCACCAGCTATGCCGGCACCTTTCGAGCCTCCTTCAATGCCTCCACCACAGCAGAAGCCAGTAATCGAGCCTCCTTCGATGCCTCCGCCACAGCAGAAGCCAGTAATCGAGCCTCCACAAATGTCTGCTCCGCCGCCCAAGGAAGAATCTCCTGAAGAAGAAATCTTTTCAGATGAAGAAGAGGAATTCAGCTCTGCAGAGGAGCCGGAGGTCAGCAAAGACGTGCTAGATCTTGGCAGGCGTGCTTCATTAATAGAACCAGTGCTTTCAAGACCACTGGCAGCGGTAGAGCCACCATTAACTCAGAGCATTAAAGAACCATCGCCAGTGCCTCAGAGCCCCTTCAAAGAACCATCTCCTACGCCATTAAGCCCCGTCAAAGAGTCCTTTACACCGTACAGTCCTGTCTCGGAACCATTTTCTCCGCCACTGATGCCGCTCAAGGAGCCATCGCCCCTTCGACAGACTTCGATAAAGGAACCATCGCCTCTGCCCCAGATGCCCATCAAGGAGCCATCCCCACTGCGCCAGGCCTCTGTGAAAGAGCCATCGCCTCTGCACCAGATGTCTATGAAGGAGCCATCTCCTCTGCGCCAAATGTCCGTAAAGGAACCTTCACCTTTGCGTCAGTATTCAGTGAAAGAGGCTTCACCATTCTCCCCGGTTCTTATGAAAGATCCTTCACCTCTTCGCCAAATGTCCGTGAAGGAGCCATCCCCTCTACACCAGTATTCAGTGAAAGAGGCTTCACCATTTTCCCCGGTTCTTATGAAAGATCCTTCACCTCTTCGCCAAATGTCCGTAAAGGAGCCATCCCCTCTACACCAGTATTCAGTGAAGGAGGCTTCGCCATTCTCCCAGGTGCCTATGAAGGAGCCATCTCCTCTTCGCCAAGTATCCATGAAGGAACCGTCACCTTTCAAAGAAATGTCTCCCTTGCCACAAACCCCGATCAGAGAGCCTTCTCCAATGGCCTACACTCCTATTAAGGAAACGACGCCGCAAAGGACGATGCTCATCAACGAAAACAATATCAGGCAAGCACCTGTAAAGGAGAAAACGCCAGAGCTCCCGAAGCCGACAACTGCTCGACGAAATTCAATTGCCGATGCTCTGACCCACCTCATCGAGGAGCCCACCGTTATCTTTGCTCCGCCAGCCGTTAAACAAATGCCTGTCAGAGAGCCAACCCCAGTGAGACAGATAGTCCGAGAGCCCACGCCAGTAAGGCAGGCCATCCTTCAACAACCTGTGATAGAACCTGCTCCTATCATCAAAATGGAAGCTAAACAACCTGTAGTAAAACCAGGACCACAGCCTCCGGCAGCCGTCAGCCAGGCCTCAGTACCAGTAACTTCACCTGTCAAGAATGCACCAACAGTTCAGGGAAGTCCAAAGAGGCATTCGGTTCTGCCAGAACCAATGCAGATCAATTACATCCCCATAGAAAAGAGCCCAGTAGTTAGTCAAGCACCAGCAACTCAACCCGCTGCAAAACCAATGCCTGCTACTGTAAACAAACAGCCTGTAGCAAAACAAATGCCTGCTCGTATGCCTTCTCCTCCCCCAGGACCCGTTGCTACCCCAGCGTCTCAAAGCACAGCAGCACCACGACTTGTGCGCCAGTCGTCCCTTCCCTCCAAACCTTCCCCAGCTCAGGTCACAACTCCCCCTGCTCAAAAGGAACCCGTTTCTGTCGCTCCTGTTTCGAGTGACGAAGATGCCGAAGCCGTACCCAGCGCCAGTGAAAGAGGAGATCTACGGTCGAGTCCTACGTCAGGGTTGCACAAAGCTCCACTTCCTTGGATGTGTGGAAGGCCCAGAGAACCGTCTCCGCCACCATTGTTCGTCATGCAGGCCCAACAAACTCAGAACAGATTACAACAAAATCGCATAATGAGACAGCGCTCAGTGGGCCCAGAGCCTTCCCACGCACAACCACATGCTCAAGTGACCGTAACTTCACCCCCAGAGGTCCTCCAACACCCAGGATTCTATAGACAGCGTTCCTTGCCTCCCCCTCAACGAACTCAGCAGCAGCTGCCACAGCAAATACCGCAGCCGATTCCACAGCCGATTCCGCTGCAAATACCACAGCCGTTGCCACAGCCAATACCACAGCAGATGCCGCAACAAAAGATGCCACAACAAATACCCCAACCAATGCCACAACCACTACCCCAACCTATGCCACAACCACTACCCCAGCAGATGCCACAACAAAAAATGCCACAGCAAATACCACAGCCGTTGCCACAGCAAAAGATGCCACAGCAAATGCCACAGAGGATGCCACAGCAGCAGGCACAAGCAAAAAAAAAAAAAAAAAAAAAAAAAAAAAAAAAAAAAAAAAAAAAAAAAAAAAAAAAAAAAAAAAAAAAAAAAAAAAAAAAAAAAAAAAAAAAAAAAAAAAAAAAAAAAAAAAAAAAAAAAAAAAAAAAAAAAAAAAAAAAAAAAAAAAAAAAAAAAAAAAAAAAAAAAAAAAAAAAAAAAAAAAAAAAAAAAAAAAAAAAAAAAAAAAAAAAAAAAAAAAAAAAAAAAAAAAAAAAAAAAAAAAAAAAAAAAAAAAAAAAAAAAAAAAAAAAAAAAAAAAAAAAAAAAAAAAAAAAAAAAAAAAAAAAAAAAAAAAAAAAAAAAAAAAAAAAAAAAAAAAAAAAAAAAAAAAAAAAAAAAAAAAAAAAAAAAAAAAAAAAAAAAAAAAAAAAAAAAAAAAAAAAAAAAAAAAAAAAAAAAAAAAAAAAAAAAAAAAAAAAAAAAAAAAAAAAAAAAAAAAAAAAAAAAAAAAAAAAAAAAAAAAAAAAAAAAAAAAAAAAAAAAAAAAAAAAAAAAAAAAAAAAAAAAAAAAAAAAAAAAAAAAAAAAAAAAAAAAAAAAAAAAAAAAAAAAAAAAAAAAAAAAAAAAAAAAAAAAAAAAAAAAAAAAAAAAAAAAAAAAAAAAAAAAAAAAAAAAAAAAAAAAAAAAAAAAAAAAAAAAAAAAAAAAAAAAAAAAAAAAAAAAAAAAAAAAAAAAAAAAAAAAAAAAAAAAAAAAAAAAAAAAAAAAAAAAAAAAAAAAAAAAAAAAAAAAAAAAAAAAAAAAAAAAAAAAAAAAAAAAAAAAAAAAAAAAAAAAAAAAAAAAAAAAAAAAAAAAAAAAAAAAAAAAAAAAAAAAAAAAAAAAAAAAAAAAAAAAAAAAAAAAAAAAAAAAAAAAAAAAAAAAAAAAAAAAAAAAAAAAAAAAAAAAAAAAAAAAAAAAAAAAAAAAAAAAAAAAAAAAAAAAAAAAAAAAAAAAAAAAAAAAAAAAAAAAAAAAAAAAAAAAAAAAAAAAAAAAAAAAAAAAAAAAAAAAAAAAAAAAAAAAAAAAAAAAAAAAAAAAAAAAAAAAAAAAAAAAAAAAAAAAAAAAAAAAAAAAAAAAAAAAAAAAAAAAAAAAAAAAAAAAAAAAAAAAAAAAAAAAAAAAAAAAAAAAAAAAAAAAAAAAAAAAAAAAAAAAAAAAAAAAAAAAAAAAAAAAAAAAAAAAAAAAAAAAAAAAAAAAAAAAAAAAAAAAAAAAAAAAAAAAAAAAAAAAAAAAAAAAAAAAAAAAAAAAAAAAAAAAAAAAAAAAAAAAAAAAAAAAAAAAAAAAAAAAAAAAAAAAAAAAAAAAAAAAAAAAAAAAAAAAAAAAAAAAAAAAAAAAAAAAAAAAAAAAAAAAAAAAAAAAAAAAAAAAAAAAAAAAAAAAAAAAAAAAAAAAAAAAAAAAAAAAAAAAAAAAAAAAAAAAAAAAAAAAAAAAAAAAAAAAAAAAAAAAAAAAAAAAAAAAAAAAAAAAAAAAAAAAAAAAAAAAAAAAAAAAAAACAAGCGCAGCCGAGCAGAATACAGCCGACGCGGCCGCAGGCGCAGCCCACGTCGCCGCAGGTGCGCGACATCCCCATCAAAGTCCAGACGGCGCACCAGCCGCAGCCTCGCCCGCGGGAGCGTATCATTCCTATTACCATCGAGAGGGATTCCCCGCCCAGGAGCACGGCCCCGACGTCCATACCAATCAAGACGCCGACGACCTCAGCGCAAGAACACATCATTCCTGTCCATTTCGAGGGGACGCCCAACGCTGCGCCGAGACCCGGCTTCCAGCAGCCCAGGGCCCAGGCCCGGCAAAACGCACAGCCGCAGCCTATGCAGCCCCAGCAGCCCCAACAACCCCAACAGCCCCAGCAACCCCAACAGCCCCAACAGCCCCAGCAACCCCAGCAACAGCAGAATTGGGCCAACTCCCCAGGGGCGGCCTTCTCCCCTCCACAGTTCCCCTCGACGCCCCTCAGTGGAAACCCCAGTGGGGCATTCACCCCGTACAACTCCCCAGCAGGATTGTACTCGAACAACAATGCCCTTGATGCCCTACACCAGATGCAGCAGAGCTTAGAGCAGCTCAACTCGGGTCTGCAGAAGTAAGTTGTACCCAAAAGGCATCTCCCCCCCACCCCCCATTGAGTAGAGCGACAGGATACCCTCAAGTAGCTACCCCGCTGCCCATGCCCCGTCTCACAGCCTGTTGATCCTAATAACCACGATGATATAAGCTGTTTCTATAGCACTTATTCTTGCAGTCACAGTAACGCAGGTCAGTAACTAGGACATGAAACATACAGTGCTTAGAATAGCAAAATTAATATATTTGATATCGCGACGATCAAATATCCTTAGAGTGTTCTCTATAAAATGTTGCATTCAGGATGGCGACATTCACGTGTGATATTTTATATCTTTTGCCTGTAACAAAATAGTGCAATTTAGATATGATGCAGTTAACCAAACATTCATTTTTTTGTAAAATATATATATATATTTTTCCAGTAGACAACTAACCACATAGAGATATTCACACTCAATTAAAAAAAAAAGAACCCCTCCCCCTCAAAAAAAAAAAAAAAAAAAAAAAAAAAAAAAAAAAATTACACCTAGATTTTTAATTAACATACTTCTGTACCTTTTACAGTGCGTTCCCAAGATTCATTCAGAAAAAAATGTCGGACTCTATAACATCTCGGAAACAACCTAGGTACAGTAGGATGGTGATGGCAAGGACATTTATAAGTTGACTTGCCTCCCCATGAAGTACACTGCTGTAGAGGAGAGTGATGTGTGCCTAATTACTACTGTTAAGGAACTGACGTCATAACTGGGGCCTTGTCCTTAAATGGGACGCGTAGAAATATAACTATAATGTTTTAATTCTGTTCATGGTGTCAGTTCTTGAGTTATATAGTTTCCTGTCAATTTGTGCTTCCCTGATGATATGTCAGCATCCTTTTTAGAACTAACATGTGTTTTATCTTTACCTATGTTTATACTGCATAAATGTATGAGTATATATGTATATATAAGTAGTAATGTAAGACAAATTTCAGTACCATCTGTATGTGTTTTTTTTATTTATAATATCTTAGCTTCCTTTTTTTTACTGGAATTTATTTACTTTTTTTTTCTGATGTGACGTTTTTGTACAACCTGTATACCTTTTTTTTTTTAATAAACTAACTTTCCTGTTTTGTGTTCTTGTTCTGTCTATGTTTACGAACCCATTGCTTGTTTTCAATATGTTATTTTGTTCAAATCGCTTCTGTATTTTGTCACCATTTTCCTCTTTGGTTGTATATGTATTGTTTTCTTATTATAAGATTTTTTTCTCCGTTTTCATTCATATGAGACATGCTGTATTTTTCAGTGTTCTCACACATTTTACTCATCTGTTTTGTAATTATTCTATTTAGCTTTCAATACTAGGTACTGAAAGTACAGTCTCGGATAGTACAATATTGGAATATGTAACTATTCACTGATTAGTGGTTAATGATCTTTTTAATTATTTTTTACAGGCATATGTATATGATGCAGTTAAGAAAAAAGCCAAAAGTTGGCAGTTTTACATTGCAATAAGAATTAAACAATTTATTTTATGGAAAATCATTAGTCATACCAAAAGACAATTATGCAGAGAAGCTTTCCATAAGGATTATCAAAGTCTTTTCATAGGAGTCAGCTACTTTATGAAACCCCTCTTGTCAAGCCCTTGCAGGGGCCATGAAAGGATAATGTATTAACACTAGTCTTGGCTATTTCCAGCTCACAGTACCGACCTCAGCAAAACGGCAATGGGGTGCCAGGAGCCCCAGGGGACGTCGCAGCCAATGGGGGAGACTTCGCCCCAGTGCAGTCCCGTTCCTTTAGGGTCCTGCAGAACGTCCTTGACCATCAGGATACCGTAGGTAAGTACTGAGGTTTCCTTCTGAGGAAACTGACGTTATGTCAATATGTTTTTTTTTTTTTTTTTTTTTTTTTTTTTATTACTGTCATTATCTATTTATTAAAAGAGTTTTAGTAATATAACATACTGATTTTATCTTTGAGAATTATGTACAACGTATGTGTCTGAATCTGTTTCTAATAATAGTGAGATAGTTCTCATAAGTTATCTGCGGGAAAACATATTTTATGTGTAAAAAATGTTAAACAAGTATGATTTCATTTTTTGGAAACCTGTTTAGGAAAAAATACTAAAACATGATAAATTTGCTTCTTTTAATAAAAAGGGAGGTAAAGCTACTAATATTAAAAATTGGAAATGTCAGCGGCTTAGGTCTTACATTCATGAATGTGTTGATGTGAGTATATGTATATGTTGAGTATGTGAGTGAGTGAGTGTGAGTGAGTGTGAGTGAGTGTGAGTGTGTGTGTGTGTGTGTGTGTGTGTGTGTGTGTGTGTGTGTGTGTGTGTGTGTGTGTGTGTGTGTGTGTGTGTATGTGTGTGTGTGTGTGTGTGAGTGAGTCAGTGAGTGAATGAGTGTGTGAGAGTGAGATTAAGTGTGAGTGTGAGTGAGTGTGCTTGTATGTATGTATCTGTACATGCATATGTGTGTGTATGGAGGATGGCTAGACAGTAAAAGCCCTCGTCTTCGTCACCATTAAATGATGTGAGACAAAAATTTCTTTTCTTACATCATGGTAAATGTTCCAGACGGTCCATCCAATGGTGCTCCATTGAAAGTAGAGGTTCCTTTAGGATCCCCAAGTAGAGGGCAAAATGGGTCCGTAATCCACTCCCAACCCAAGGGCCCAGGTTCAAATTTTAGAAGCGTTATTAACAACAAAGGTGGAGTCACAGCCCAGCAGAACAGAGGAGTCTGGATTGACACCCCGCAGCCATACAGTAATGAATCAAAGATCATACAGAATAATCATGAACAGAGGTCCCCCAGCATTGGTACAAAAGACCTGCCAAATAGTTTCAAAAACAAAGGTGAGATTGGAAGCAAAAAAGGCCCCCAGATTTGTATTATGAACAATATTACATGAACTCATAAATCAAATTGGTAAAATTATTTTTAGCACAGACTATAACAAAATTGGACTTTTAATAATCTTATCTGGTACTGCAGTGCAGGTCTCTGTTCATAATGATGAGACCCGAAGCAGGGGTGGTCACTATTCCAACAGAAATGCCTGGGCTCCTCCAAAGACTGGTATGCAATATATATATATTATATTATGTGCACATTTTGGTGGCGGAAATCTTGGAACTCTCCTACATATTAATGGGTTTCCCTGGAAGGTGATGGTTTCTTGTGGCAGATAGAGGTTATGGTTTGTTGGTGATGGGATAAAGCACTTCTTCAGAAAGAGTGCCTTTTATATGTATTTTGTTGCACATTAAAGGCTGTGAACATTTAGTGTTTTCTTTATGTGGTGTCCTCCATTCAGTTCTTTGTAGTTTTTATTTCTGCTCTGTGTATTTAGCAGTTTTTATTAATTTATGTGTATATTTCTGCACTGATATTATTTTTCTTTTTGTTTTGTCCAGGAGAACTTTTGCTTGCTCTGGTGTTAGTCACAGTTACTATATATCACTTTTGTTCTTTTGAGTTTCTTTTTCAGAGAACACACACGTCTTATGCAAGCTTTGAACTCGTCCTATCTTAACATCTACGTTTATGATTTGATGAAATATTCTGCAATTTGTTATGATTTTCTTATTATTTCTTTCAGTCTCGCTTCATAATACTTTAAGCTTCTCCTTCTAACGCTGTCCTCCTCTAACAAACCCTCAGGTTCAGATGATGAAATCTCCAATTATATGCAAGCTCATGCCCCAGTGTACCATGGAGAGTTCCAACCTCCACCAAAACAATATAGGCCTAAGCCAAATCAGCAAAATACTGTTTATCAGCTAAATAAACAGCCTATAAAACAAAACCAGGCACAGCCACAGCAGCAGTTCCAACCACAGCAACAGCAGCAGCAACAGCCCCAGTCTCATCTGAATCAGCAGCAACATGCAAAGTTGCCTCAGCAGTACCATCAGCCCATGCCTTTTGAAATGAAGCAATTAAGTGAGTCGAAACCTAGCAATAGTCCATCATCCTCGAAGTTTTTCCGAATGCTACAGACGATCACTGATACTTTGCCTGAAGGAGCTGGTATGGGGCATTCAAGTGACGTTTTCTTTGCTTGATGTCTCATATTTGTGACGCCCTCCCTACCCCCTCTCTCTCCTCCAGCCTCCTTATCGCTGGTGTAGATCTTAGTGACAAACATTCCTTTGGAAACCCTTGTGATATTTGTGTGTATATTTGTCCCTGTTGCTGCTACTTCCCCTTAAAAGCTGATGGAATGAGAGCTACCTGTCATCTGGCACATGAACTTGTGAATACATGCTTCATTAATGACTACCATGGAAAAAGATTAATGTGGAAGACTCTATATATGATTATAGAGATACCATGTTGTTATCATAACTGAAAATACATATTCAGGAAGATATTCTGAGAAAATGGCAGAAAGAGATTATGAATTATGATTTTAGAAGAGCATCCTTCAAGATTAGGGAAAATTATGTTGAAATATTTGTAAATGAAATATCAATATTTTTCTGTAGTTCAGGTTTCAGAATGTGACAAAATCGGGTTTTGTAACACTGAAAACATTCAGTTACATATATAAATATCACATTTATAATTCTAAATTCTTAAAATATAAATTTAGTGATGATTTTATGATTGAAAATGTATTTAGTAATAGCTTTATGAGCAGTAAAATTTAAATGTGTAGACAGACATGTGATATTTATGCTTAGTTTGCCATAAAATACTAATCAAAATATAAAGCATTGTTTTCCTCTATAAACTTTCATGAAGAAATCAGTTATAAATTGTTTTTATGTTTTTTTCTCCTGGTACTAGGCAAAAGTACACTTGAGCTGTCTTTTATATCCAGAAACCTCACTGCATCTGTTGCATGTATACCTTACTTACTGTCCCTACTGGTATTAGTATAGATATTCTCCTTCCCTAACACTATGTGATCCCAGGACTGTCTTTATAACAAAAATAAATGCAGTCTATGCAAGATTATTAACTATGGATCTGAATAGATGAGTGAATTAGATCTTAATATACAATAGACTTTTTGTGTTGTAACTTTAGTAGCTGTAATAATTTGGAAATTAAGTATA